AAGGGAGGGAGGGAGGAGGCGGCGGGAGGAGGAGGAGGAAGGAGCAAGGAGGAAGGAGGGGGAGGAGGAGAGAGGAGGAGAAAAGAGGAGAAAGGAGGAGGGAGGAGGCGGAGGAGGTGAAGGCGGAGGAGAAAGAGGAGATTCGGTTCCGATCAGTTCAGCCTGCATGCTGGCTCCCGTAGAGGCGGTCCCTTGAGGGGCAGGCAGTGCTCAGGGCAACAAGCTCTATGCTGTACAACAGGATGCTGCACCCCGTCGCGTGCACTGCAAAAGCCACAAGACTGAATGCCTTGCGACAACTGCTACATGGCATGCTCTACAACAGAATCCCTCCACCCTCCAGGGGGCGAGGAGGAGGAGGATGGCTGTTTCCTTGAGGGGAAGACAGCGGAGACAATGACCAAGGCAGAAACTGGAAACGTCGTGCCGATCTCGGTCAGCGTCGATCTTGGTCATCGTCGATCTTGGTGAGCGTCAATTCGTGGATCAGCCTCGCGAATCGGCGGCGGCCGACAAGGACCATGACCAAAATCAGCATCGACACGATCCCGCGACATCTTGGTCACGGTCCCCGTGTTTCTTCCCTCGGTTCCCACGCCCAACTTGGAAGGCGGCAAAGCCCCACCTCCGCACATCCCCGCGTGCCGTCCCGCCCCCGTGCCGGGCCGGCCCGAGCGCCCGTCTGCCCACTGCCTCCCGCGAGCAACTTCCAGCACAACCACAGCTGGACAAGGACACGGACATCTGGCGCCCAGTGTGGCCAGAGGCATGTGCGCGGCCCATGAGGGGGGGGCCAGGGGCCGCATTGAGACAAGAAGAGGGGCCATGAAATCCAGGAAGACAGCATGGCCCTGGCCAAGATACGCACACCCCACCCACCCCTGTTGGACTCCAACCGAAAGAAAGATCGAAGCGGCCCCTGAGGCCTTTGGCAATGGCCGCTGTCGGGCCTCGGGGCTGCCAGAAAAACGGATGGGGGCGGAAAACCGGCCCTGGGATAGGGGGTCGGGAGGTCCGGGGGGCCGCGCCGCGCATCGAAAAAGTCGAAGCGCCAGACGTCTGAGACCGTCCGGGCCCATCGGGACAGGGTGGTGTGGTCGGGCTTGAAGGAGGGAACGTCCATCGAGGCAGTCAGCCGCACATAGAACCTCGTCACAATCCCAACCACCCCTCCTCCTTCTCACCCTCGCCATCATCTTCCAACTACGTCTCCCCTTCTTTTGCCCCTTCCCGCAAAAGGAGCGAGGGGCTCAGCCGAGGGCAGCCCAGGAGCCGCGAGCACTCCCGAGGCCCTCCGACCACCCCGATGCCTCTGGATAGGCGTCGGTCTCTTGTACTTGCAGCGACCTCGGCTACGCGATCGGATTTGACATTGGTGCCAACGCAGCTGCGAGCAGGAACAGCGCTCGCCCAAGTGGTATGGACAGGACGGGAGAAGCAGAGAAGAAGAAGGTCGAGGAATCGATTACGCAATGTGTTGCGTGGATGCATTGACAAGAGACTGAATGAACAAGACGATGGATGAATAAATAAGCCGATGGACTGATGCACTGATGCCTGGGCGAGATTCATTGGAACCACCCACATGGACGACGGAACGAACACCACCAGGAAAACCATTAAACAAGTGTGTTGAACGTCGTCGGATTGAAAGTGCATTCGATTAGGACTGCTTGAGCGTAACTGAACTGGGTGGAATTTCCTGAACTGCGTTACATTGAATTCGAAGAGAAACGGCGTGACCCGAAACCAACTGCTCATGGACGTGAACAAACATATGAACACACATCGAACATCACATTGCGGCGGTAAACGGCACGCGCATCTTGAATACATAACGCACCTTTGGAACAGCTGGCTGCCCACAAGGAAGCTAACTTATTGTACGGGAGCAATGACAAAGGAGCAGCGTGGAGGGTGCAGGAAGAGTATCAGGAAGAGGAAAAGGACGGACGAGGGCGAGACCAAGGATGATGGTAAGAACGAGAACGAGAATAAGGAGAGGATCAGGATGAGGGGGAAATGTAAGAGAGACGAGCGCTGTGTCCACCCGTCTGGGAGGACCATGGGGCTTAATTACCCCAGTGCGACCCTACCTAGAAGTTGGAGCCCCTAGGAAAGCAGCATTAGTTGCTATGCTATACTATGCTATGCTATGCCATGCTATGCTGCGCTATGCTATGCTATGCTATGCTATGGTATGCTATGTTATGCTGCGCTATGCTATGCTATGCTAAGCTAAGCTATGATATGTCATGCTGCGCTGTGCTATGCTAAGCTATGTTATGATATGATATGCTATGATATGCTAAGCTGCGCTATGCTATGCTATGCTATGATATGCTAGGATGTGCTATGCTATGAAATGCTATGCTATGCTATGCTGCGCTATGATATGCTATGTTATGCTATGCTATGCTATGGGTGGCTGTGGTATGCTATGCTATGCTATGATGCGCTATGCTATGCTATGCTGGGCTTTGCTATGACATGCTGTGCTGCGCTGTGCTGTGCTACGCTCTGCTATGCTATGCTGTGCTCTGCTATGCTAAAGCTCGGCGAAGCTAAGATGAAGGTAAGCTAAGCTAAGATAAACCTGAGCTAAGATGAAGCTAAGCTAAGCTAAGCTGAAATAAGCTAAGCTAAGATGAGATAAGCGACGCTAAGATAAGGCAACGTCACTGGGGGAACCGCGGGGGGGATCCTGGGGGAACCGCCCGGGGCGTGGAACACTGCCCGGCCCTTTAAGCCAACACGGTAAGAACCCTTCTAGGCAGAGCCTAGGTAGGGAATGAAAATACGTTTGGAAAATAGGACAGGTGGGAGCGGTGCTGGCCTGATCACGAACTAGCCCGTCGCTCCGCAACGCTGAATTAGCTCCTCGCCCCTCGGCTGTCATCCTCCTCCTCAGCGTCCTCCTGTTCTCCGCCGTCCGCACTCCTTTTTCCTATTGTTTGGCCTTCGCGTCCTCCCCGTCCTCATATTTCTGATTTCCGTATTCCCAAACAGCATCGTCATTTTCGTATTCATCACTTGTGTCACCCCTATCCTCTCTACTCTGTTCCACTTCCTGGAAGATACCTCATTCTGGTCGTACCACCAGATGTGCTGGTGGGATGCGGTCTGCCTGACACTTCCTCACAGCATCTGAAGTTCAAGCTTGCAATTTCCAACAGCCGTACGGATGGTGGGCGACTCCGTTTTCTAAGCGCGGTTATCGCCTTGGCGCCGCAACCGCTGGTCTTAGAAGCCTGTAACAGCTGCATTGATGGAGGCCGACTAGTATTCAAAATGTGGTTATCGCGCCCGCGCCGCGGACATTCTTATTAGAAGCTTCCAACCGCAATTTCATTGAAGCAAGTCAATTCGTCTTGAAATCGTGGCTCTCGCATCGGCGCCGCGCACGTTCGCCCTAAAAGCTACCAGCGGATACATGGATGGGGGGCGAATCGTTTTCGCAAGAGGGTTCTCGTATCCGCGCCGCACAGTCTGAAATCGGCGGCGCAGAGGAACCCCAGGCGCAGTCAGCAGAAGGAAGTGCGATTGCGAGCGAACATAAACGTAACGCGCAGGTGAAGAAACGCCCAACACTGCAGTGCAAAAGGGTCGGTGAAAAAAAAATGAGGGACTGTCAACCACAGGCATGAGGCGGCCAATAAAACGAAGAACTGATCGATCGATTCAACTAAGTTGAAACGCCAGCAATATGGTGCTAATTGGTGCCACTGAATCGTCAAAGGAGTGTTAGTCACTCTGTGACACTCCGACATGTTGCTGCTACCCGTCCTCGGCCATTCCTAGGCATTCCCAGACGCCGCGGGCGCGAAACGTGACGTCATCGGCCCCCTCCCACCCCCCAGATGATTGCCGTCAACGGCCAGGCATGAAAAAGGAGGCTCCGGCCACGTCCCCGCGCACGACAACGATGAGCGACGAACGACGAACGACGAGCGACGAGCGACGACGACGACGACGACGACGACGACGACGACGACGACGACGACGACGACGACGACGACGACGACGACGACTGCAGACCAGACCCGTATGCGGATTCCTATGCGGACACGTATGCGGATCCCGATGCGCACGGCGGCAATGCCAAAAGCGCACTGGGGGGGAGCGTTACGTCATTGGGGGGGGCGGGAGCCATGACGCCCGTCATGCCCCAAGCAATAAAGAAACACGCTCCAGTGAAGAACATGATTGTAAAGCTGCCAAACCAGCCGATTGGTGGAGTGGCGCTGGGAAAGCAATGGCCCGGCGAAACTGATGGGTAGGGTGCTAACCTACGAACCTGCGACGCAATATGCAGTAGCGAAAAAATGAATCGCTAGCCTACAAGGCACGGCAGCACCACACATCGCAACCCGAACATAAAACAACGTCGCAAACAGCGGACGCTGTGACGGCAAATACTGGTGGTCACGAAGCGCACCGCATGCGTAGAAGCCACGCACGAAGCCAAAACCAACCGAATCGCCATGCCGTCAAATCCTTGGTGTATAGCCATGCTACCAAGAGGGACCTGTGTCACTGACACGTCCATGCTGGCCGAAAACAGGCTGCAATGGAGGCGCCGACCGAGTTATACTGGTCGGGTACCGCCCAAGCAACACAAGTAAAGACGCAAGGTGCACTGCACGCACCGACGTCTAAATCGCCACCAAATCGACCAAGGACGTCTCGGACAAGACCCGGAAGGCGCCGCGAGGCTCGCGGAAGATCCACTTGTGGAGCCCACGACCCGAGCCTCAAAGAACGCATCACGTGCAATCTGATCCCGACGGTGGCAAACGCAAGGAGACCACGTCAAGAGGCCCGACCACACGAAACCAGGAACCCCGACCAAGCGCGAGCAGCACGGGAGGCTCTGCAGACGAGGGCGCCAGGAGAGAGAGCTCCAGGCGCCAAAACAGAACTGCCAAAGCAAGCGGGGGCGGCAGGGGTTTGGCCGAAAGCTGCTGTGGGATCAGCGGCTCGCGCGAGGTTCGGCCGATGCCCCGCACGGATCGGCCCGCGGCCCCCGCCAGCCAAGCTCACGCAGCTGCTGGAACATACAAACAGGAGGCGGCAGCGCGGCGGGGGAGCGGTCGGGCACCAAGGGTGAGGCCAACCCCAGAGACCCCCGCCAGGGCGGCCCCTCACTGGCACGCACAGCCCTGAGGGACCGCGCGACACCAGAAAGGGGGTCCACGCGCAGAGAGAGAGGGAGGGAGAGAGAGAACAAAAAACAAAGCTGTGGAGGAGGAGGAAGAACAGGGGGAATTAAAGAAACGGTGGCACAATGGCAGAATATTATCTTCTGGCAATGGCGGGGTTATCCGAATCCCACCTCACGGCGCAAAGCCAATTTTGCCTTCGAAACCAGCATGCTGCACAAAGCCGGGGGGGGGGGGGGAAAAAGGCGCACCGCGCCGGCAACGAGAGCGAGGCGCGCGCGCGGAAGAATCGCAAGCCCCCGCGGCAGGGACGACCCGGAAGATGGGAGGAGGGGGGGAGAGAACAAGCAGGGGCAGAGGCAAGAGGGGAACCCAGAGAAACGACGGCGGAGGACCCCGCGACGCGGCTGGGACCACGACCGACAACGGCGACGACCAAGCGAGCCCCGCGACCCAATGGGAGGGGAAGGGACCGACGGACCGCCGCGGGGGGGAGCGCCGGCGGAACGCGGCGGGAACGCCACGCCACCTCCTGCAGAAACGAAACCTCGCGGGCAAGAAGCCAGGGAAGGCGAACGAAGGCGAGCGAAACACATGCGAAACACGGCAAGACCACGACGCGACGACCAGCGCGCGCCCAGAGCGACTGCACGTGGCCGACCCCTGGCGTTCCCCTCAACCCTGAAGCCCCCACAGCCCCACGTGGGAGGCCTGCGCTGAGAAACCGCAACCTCCGACCCTCGGAGTCCTGGGCCTCCCGGGCCCGGGGAGCCCAAAGCGGTGCAGGACCTCGAGGCCCAAAGGCACCCCACCGCGCGCTCCGCCACCGCAGGGACGCGGCTTCGGCGCCCCAAAGCTCTCAACGGCCCGAGGCATCCTCGGAGAGCGACCCGGGTCCCCAAACCGCGCGGCCGCGGGCCGCGGGGAGGCACTCCTTGAGGGGCGGGCCAGCGGGTGTGGCCGCCTCCGTCGGGGGCGGCGACCGAGGCGTCTGCTGCTTTCCTGCTTGGGGGGGGAGGAGCAGCAGCAGCAGCAGGAGGAGGAGGAGGAGGAGGAGGAGGAGGAGGAGGAGGAGGGTGCTCTGGGCAGCGGAATGGGCACCCCCCCACCCTGCCACCCCGCCCGACGGCCCGCTGTGGCGCCTCCAGCGCCCACGGAACCCACCCCCAGCTGGCGATCTGGCCCCCCCCCCACGCCCCGCGAAGGACGGTCCACTCCTGCACCCTCACGGTCATGGAACGGCTCGGAGTGAAAGGCCTCGCGCTTGCCCCCATCCCCGAGATCAGCCAGCCCCACGGCGATGACACCCTCGGGGAGGGGGCCCTCAGAACCCGAGGGAGTCCTCGAGATCAGCGCCGAGGCAAGGTGATGCGATAGAAATGCATGTCAGGCAGGTGAGGAGGAAGCGCGACCACAGATCTTGGCGGCGCCCACAAGGGGGGGGGCGCGAGCAGGGCGAGGCCTTCTAAGAAGGCGGAAGGGCTTCTTAGAAGGCGGGGGCCTTCTCAGAAGGCCTCGGAGGCTTCTAAGAATGATTGTTGTAGACCTGGCGGGCTTCTGAAAAACCTCCCTGCCTTCGCCGACGCCCGTCCGCCCTCTTAGAAGCCCATCCCCCTCGCGCCAACCCCTGGTGGGCACCGCCAGAGATCTACACACAGCACGGCCCAGACAGCAGTGCGGATCAGAAGGTCGCCCAAGGTAAACCACGAACGCGCCGCATCCGAGGCGAAGGCTGATGTTCTCCCACAGGTAGTCGGGCAGCTCGTACTGCTCCCAGAGGTCGTCGAACCAGTCGATGGGCGGGATCTCCTCCGCCCCTCTCCCGGAGATGTCGACCGCGATGCCGTCGTACTTGTCGAAGTCGATGCCGGCGGTGTGGGCGGTGTTGTCGAAGAGCTCCTTCCGCTCGGCGGCGGGGCGGGGCAGGACGAGGGGCGGCGGCGCCTTCGAGGGGGCGGGCCCTCCGAGAAGGTTCCCAAGCCTTCCCCAGGAGACACGGGCGGTTCCTCGAAGGGCGCGACGGCTCTCGAGGAGCCCCGCCGCCTTCCGAGAAGGCGCGCCGCTGGGAGGGCGGAGGAGGGGGAAGGGAATAGGGGCGGGGGGCAGGCGGCTGGAGTCCAGGCTCTGGCCGCCGACGTCCCCGGTCGAGAGAGAAGGCCCCCACAGCGTACTCCAGGTCTCTCAATAAGCGCGGGGGGGTGGGTCGCAGGGGGGGGGGGGGGGGAACCGCTGTCCTTCCGGGGGCGTGGGGAGGTTGGGGAGCGAGAGGAGGTGGGTTTGGGGCGGGTGGGGGGGGCGGGCAAGGGGCGTCGGACAGGGAGGCAGGGGGGGGGTGCTTATTGAAGGATCTGGAGTAGCGGCCCCCCTCGCCAGCAGCGCACCGCGACCGCGACGGTCATACCACAGACGGAGCTCACCAGCAGTAAGCGCACTGACTGGATAGGGGACCACGTGCGAACCCTATCCCTACACCCCACGACTTCTGAGGGGGAGGGTGGGGCTCACTTCGCTCAGGAGCTCCTGGTCGAAGTGAACCCCACCCTCCCCCTCAGAAATCGTGGGGGGTAGGGGCAGGGTTCGCCTGTGGCCCCCTACTGGAGAGAGAGAGAGAGAGAGAGAGAGACAGAAAAAAAAAAATGCTGTCAGGGAACGCGCGCATGCATCCCACTGGTCTCGACCGGATTGTGGAGGGGGGCCTGCTCCTGTGCGCGCTCGCGGTACTCGTGCCCCAACCCCCCTCCCTGCCTCGGCTGCGCCCGAGAATGAAGTCGCTCTTCGCCTCCACCCCCACGCCGCCCCCTCGAAAAAGTGGGAAGACAAGACGCGTCGCATCCTCGAGTGAGAGAGGGGGGGGTGAAATAAATGCCTCGGCTATGGCGGCGCGTGCACCAACATTGGGCGAACACGACGGGTGTGCAGCTGGCTGCTCGGTAGGAGGTCCGCGCTCCTGCGGGACCGACGACGCGCGGGGGGAGGGCGGCATCGGGCGCCGACGCCCTGCCGCACCCCGCCGCACGACCGAGCACGACCAGCGGTCGCGCCGCCAACACCACGCGCTTTCCAAAAGCGCGCGACCAGACGAGCGCCCCCACGCGCGAGACACACCCCACACCCCAAGAGGGCGGGCACGGGTGGGACCGAGCGAAACGAGCGCCCCAAGGCGCGAGCCAGACACACACACACACACACACACACACACCCGGGCGGGTGGGCACGGGCAGGACAGAGCCCAGGAAGAAAGCCGAGAGCGCCGCGCACGCGAGCCACCGCGCGCGCAGCACGCCCCGCGGGGCACAGGGTGGGCACGGGCGGGCAAGCGGAAACCGAGCGCGCGCCCATTTCCGCGAGCCTTGCGGGTTGACACAAATATATTCCAACACATGCGAGAACGCCGCGCGCGGGGGCGCGCTCGCGCGCCCCCCCGCGACCCCGATGCGGCGCAACCCCTCACGCACGCAGGGGGGGGGGGGGGGGGGGGGGGGGAGACGTTCTCGCGCGGCCCCCCCCCCGCCCCTCCGCGCGAGGACGCGCGCCGCCCCTGCAGATCGCCCCCGCGCGGCGCGGGCGCTCTCGCGCGCCACGGCGCCGCGCCTCGCGCGACCCCGCGCCGCGCCGCGCCATTTCCATGGCCGTGAATAATGAAACTGCAAAACCGCGCAAACCGCTCACACTGCGAACCGCGCGCCGCCGCCTCTGCATTTATCGGCCCTGAAAAAGCGCGCTTTATGGGCGATATAAATGCCTCGGCTATGGCGGCGCGTGCACCAACATAGGGCGAACACGACGGGTGCGCCGCTGGCTACTCGGTAGGAGGCCCGCGCTCCTGCGGGACCGACGACGCGCGGGGGGAGGGCGGCATCAGGCGCCGACGCCCTGCCGCACCCCGATGCACGCCCGATGGGGAAGCCCTCCCCCGCGCCCCGAGCAGCCCGCGCGCGCGTTGCGCCCGCGCCCCGCCAGCTCGATGCACGCAACCAAGCGCTAGGCCGCAGCTCCCCCCTCGGAGGAATCGGAATGCTCCACCGCGTGCTCGGCTGCGAGCATTTCGCCGGTCGTCTTCGCCGACGCGCAGGCGAAAGCGGCGACGGAACGCCACCCGCCCTGCGCGAATAGCGCGGCGGCGCCACCTCCGCAGCAGAAACTGCGGCGCCGGCACCCGCGCGCCCCCTGCGAAAGCAATGCGTTCCCCACTCAGCCGCCCTGGGAAGCCCTAAGCGCATTGCGCCGAGCTTGACCTGCGACGCAGCGCCCCCCGCGCGCGACTTCCCCGAGCCGGGCGGGGCCGCGCCATCGCCGGGGCATCGCGATACGACACGTCCGGGAATATCAGCGACCTATAGGCCCTGACCACCGCGCATGGAGGATGCACACCCCGCAAGGGCGGCGGCCTCGACATGGGCAACCGCTCGCCGAAAGCGCGCGGGAACGAACCGCGGAGGCGCGCCTTGCAAGGAGCAGACGCAGACCCATCAAACCTGACCCGGGCCCCTGTGGCACTTCCTATCAACCAGCTCGATGCATGCCTTGCGGGTGCCTTTCTCTGTGCATACCTGCCGCGCCGTTCCCGCGGGCGCCGCGGCCCCGCGGGGCCGCCGCCCCCTCGGGGCGCGCGCGCCAGGACGGACGAGTGACCCACGGCATTGACCCCCACCAATTCCGAGCCGAAGCGCAAGCAGAACTGGCGGGCGACGACGAAAGCATCTGGCGCGCGGCGCGCCTTCGCCCGCCCAGCGCCCATCCGCCCCCCTGCTGGCGCAGCGGGCGGGCGGGCCCGCCTGCAATGTCCTCGCGCCTGGCATCGCTGCGGGCCAACTGGGCCAAATCGCGGACTTCCGAGCAACCGAGACGCCGGGCGGGAGAATCGGGCCTGGACCCCGGGGAACGCGCATGGACGGCCGCAACCCTAGACTTGCACCTGCCTCCATCGCGCGCCGCCCGCTTCAATGCTCCCCGAGACAAGCCCCCGGCGAGCGCGAGCGCCCCCGCGTCACTGCGGATCAAGGCCAGGACCGAGCGCACCCGGCTCCATGCTGGACCAGACTCCCGGCACAGCGATAGATTACGACCATGATATCGAGGGAACCCTCCTGGGGCGGCCACGGCGGCTCCCGGGCCGCGCGGCGCGCCAGGCCCCACGCCTCGACGGCCGATGCATAAGACCGCGCGCTCTTAAGGTGCCACTGGCCCATCTCGGTCCAGATCGCCAGCTCCCGGAAGCGAGCCTGGGTGGAATCCTCCAGGAGCACCGCGGCCAGCAAGCGCCCCCTCGCCACCGGGGTACCCCGGGGAGCCAAGATGCCCGCCGGGGGATCCCTCGTCTTGGCCAAGGATCTCACGCACGACGCCAAGACTTCGGGTGGAGGCGGCACACCACACTGCCTCGCCTCGGCCAGGACACGTAGCGCACAAGCTGCAGAATCCGGCATACCACACGGAAGAGGCCGCGCTGGCCCGCTGGGGGGCGGGTCGGCCGCCGCCCCCCCCGAACGTACCTGCGACGGCAAGCGGCCGCGCGCGCGCCCCCGAACGCCCCCGCCCTGCTGGGGCAGCAGGGGACGGGGGGGGAGGGCGGCTGGACCGGGTCGCGCGCTGTCTCGGCCGCCAGCTTCCTCTTCTTGCGCACCCGGGCGCAGGCCACGACCTGGTCTGCAAGCCCCGGCGGGCCCCTCAGGGCCGGCCAGATACTTACCTACTCATCGCTGAGAGGCCGTCGAAATCATCGATACCTTTGACCCCGCCCTGCTCCATGGCCAGACCGAGCACGCCAAGGTCCGGGGCGACCGCTGGCGGCATCGCGTTTGCCGCGGCGCGCAACAGTCCGAGAAGATCGCCACTAACGGTAGGCTCGCGCGGCATCGTAGCGTCGCTGAACGAACCGCGCGGAATCAACGCGACTGCCTCACTGCGGCACGGCGCGCGCGACCGTCCGCACGCGCAACTGTGTAAACTGTTTCGTACGCATGCATGAGCCCCACGGCGCCGCGCGGGGCCATGGCCACGCCACCTCGGTGAAACCCTCGCGGCGCATGGCCGCTATTTCGGCCGCCTTCGTGGCGGGCCGCGCAGGGGCGTCCGCCACGTTGAGCGCGGATGGCACATACCATGCGCTCAGAAGGCACCGCGCGGCTGCCGCCGCGAACCAGATGTCGGCTACCAGCGCGTCATCATCCGGCTGGCGCGAGGTGCCGCGCAAGAGTACCCCGAGCGCGGCCTGGCGCGGCCAGCGGGGCAGCGCGCACATGTCCGGACGAACCGCGCGCGGCTGCGCCTTTGAATCCACAAACATCACGATTTCAGCGTCGCGCAGCGACTTAAGCAGATGATGCAGCGCGCATACTGCCGCGACGAGTTCCCACGTTGCGACCTGCCACACACGACGGACCGCATGCCCAATCCCGCGCGGCCGGCGGGGCGCCCCCGCCTGCGTCTCGCGGCACCGCGCCCACCGTTTAATTGGCGAGGGCACGGCGGCCGCCGCATATTGCTTGCAGCCTGGCCCGATGATGACCCGCGCCAGCCTGCGGTGGAGGCGTGGGCCGGGTCGGGCCCGCGCCGGGCCCGGCGGGCGCGCGCGTTCGCCGCCTGCCGCCTCCCGTCGCGTCGGAATACACGAGGTAGCGGGGCTGGCTCCGGCCCCCCCGCAGGGGCACCGCGCGTTCTGGCGCGCTCCGAAGGAAACGCAAGCACCATTCCAGAGCCCGGCGGAGCCGCAACTTCAGTTTCCACCCCCGCTGCTGCGCGTGCCAGAACAGCGGTGCGAGGTATACCCGGGCACCTGTCGCCGCTCCCGCGCGCGCGCGTGGCCTGCGCTCGGGGGCCCTCGCGCGCCTCTGCCGAACACCGCGGTGGAGCCACACCCTAATATGCCAGCGAATTTGGAGGCGGCCGCTGGCAACATCCGCCCTGCCGCCAGCGCCCCCTCGATCCCTTCGGTCCACTTGTCGCGCTTGTCGGTACCGATCGCGAACACGAGCGATAGCTCCTCGCCCGAGCCGCGCACTTCCGCGTCGACTCCGAGCACATTTGCCCTTGGTTCGGCCACGACGCGCTTGCCGGCGTCGAGTCGCCAGCCCAAGAGATCCTCGACGACCGCCCTCAACACCTTGGCGGCGTCGCGGGGGCCGCCCGCGCCGGGCCCTCTGTCGGCGTCGGCCCGGAACAGGTCGTCGACAAAACGCCCCGACGCAAGCCAGAATAACTTGGCAAGGATCGCCCGCCGCGCGCGGGGCGCGCGCTGTGACGCCGCGGCGGCCGCGCCCCGCGCCTGAAGCGCCGCCCCAACGCGGCCCCAAGCGCACCCGCTCCCCACGGCGCCGAACGGACAGCTCAGGAGTTGCAAGCAATAGCCCTCGCTGGCACCCGCGGCCCATGCCTCGCGGGCCAGCGGGAGGTCGGTGCCTCGCACGGGCAACGTCTTATAAGCCCCGACGAAATCTTCCTTGCTCAGCACTGGTGCACCGGCCGCGGCTACGATCCGCGCCAGCTCGACCAGAGCGTCGAGGGAATCGACCCTGCGCGCGGCCGCAGCAACAGGAGGGGCGGGGGGGGGGCCGAGGGCGGGCCGCGCGCGCCAGGGCCCGCCTGCACCTCTCGGCTGCCGCGGCGCAATCATTCACTCCTGTAGCGGTAAAGTCGTCAATCGCGCGTACCTGCGCTTACCAGCCATCGGAGCGGGGCACGGGGGGGGGCTGCTATCCGCTGCGAATGCGCCCCTCCTTGCGCGCCCAGCCTGATTCCTTCCAACGCCATCCCTCGTCGACAGGGAAGCGCGGGTTCAATATCGCCCCACGCGGTAAATCAGAGAGACGCACCCACGTCGCCTGACCCGCGGCTACCTGCATGCGCGCGGGCGCCGCGGCCTGGGCCGCCGCCCGCGCGGGTTCGCGTGGCGCGCGCGCGCGCGCCTCCTCGCATGCCTTCTGACGCAATATCTGAATGGCTTCTGCGTCGGCCCCCAGGTCCCGACACACTCGCTCGAGAGCGGCGGCGTTCAGATTGGCCGCCCGGCCGCGCAGCTCGGACGGGCACGCGGCCTCTTTGGGGGCCACTTCCGCGTTCATGCCCGAACGCGGCAGGACGCCGACCAGCGGGAATCCTTCTTCCAAGTCGCGCGGCAAATTAGAGTCGGGCGCCTTGCGCGCCAGGCCGCGCTCCGCTGGCCAGCGCCCCCGGCGGCTTGCAGCATTTCGGCTAAGAGCAACAAATTCTTGTCAAACCCCAGGACAGAACGCACGTGCCATGGCAATCTCGCATAGCGCGCCCCCCCGCAAGCGCGCTCTCCCGCCGGGCGTGGCGCGCGGTTTGGGCGTGCCGGGCGGCGCCCCCCATGCTGGGGCCGTCGCCCGTTTGCGCTCCTGCCAAAACTGCAAAGCCGCCTCGCGCTTTTGCTGCATGAGTCGGTCCGCCGTCTGGCTCGCCGCCACCGCCGCGTCGCGCGCAACCCCGGCGAGCGGCGCCATTTCGCTGACCCGCGGCAGACGCGCCGCCCAGGCCACATGGCAGAGGGGGCCCATACCCGCCATCGTGCCTTCGTCCGTAAGTAACGCTTCTACGGCGGCTTCAAGCTGCACGCGCGCGGCGCCGCGGCTGCGCCCCGGCGCGCCCTCGTGGGACGATGGGCGCGGGCCTCTTCACATGCGCAGCCAGCGTCGCGAATTTGCTGGGGGCACAGACCGCCACCCCCGCCCTCGACGTCGCTGTCGGAATCGGCATCCGCGCCCTGCGCCGCGCACGCGACGGGCGGCGAGGCATCGGCCGCAGTGCCCCTGCGGCGCCCCCTGTCCCTCGGGCGACGGCCCTCGCCACGCTGCGCTCACCGCCGTCGGCAGAATGCAGTGGGGGGGGCCCGTCGCCTGCGCGGCTCGCGGCGCGGCAACAGCGCGGACGCGCCCGCGGACCGCGCCTTGGGCAAGCGCATGATTATTATGCACCGCGCCAACGCCCTGGCGTCACCACCGCCAGGTCTCGGTCTTCTTGGGCTTGTTCCACGAGCCCCCCGCCTTGGAAGCCTCGGCCGACTCCCTGCGCGGGCTCCTCGACCGCCGCTTCACCGGCGCCCGGGGCCTCTGCGCGCCCCCCTCGCCCTTGCCGGACTTGCCGCCCTCCTGGCCCTAGCCTTTGGCGGCGCCGGGGGCGGGCCCGGAGCTCCAGCCGCTCGAGCGCTGCCCAAATTGGGTCGGCCTTACACGCGCGCGCGAACGCGAATGCGATAGCGCGCGCCCGTCGCGCTGCGCCCGGAGTCGGAAGAGCCCCCTCCAGACTGCGCCTGGGCCTTGCCCACGCCCTTTGACTTGTTCAGGACGTGGGACTTCGCTTCGGCCAGGACGCCCCAATCGAAACCGGCGAATAGGTCGGCCACCGCCGCCCCCACGCCCGCCTGCTCCAGGCGCCTGGCGGCTTTGCGGCGCATGCGCAAGTCGCACTCGAAAGCGGTTCTCGCGCCGCCGTGCTCTTCCGATACCTGCGCGGGAACGGCGCCGCGAAGGAAACCGTTCTTACCGAAAGGTGGGCACCCCTCCAGCGCCGTTCGCGGCGCGCGGCGCGCGGCGATGTGCGCACCTTCACCGACTGGAACTGGTGCCCGAGGAATTGAACCGGCGTCAAAACTCGGGCCAATATCATCTTCAAGCCCCAATCCAGCAGATGCGCCTGCTCCGCGCCCCCCGCCGCGGGTCGCGCACCGCGATCGCGCGCGCGCCGCGCGGCCTGAAAATTCGTGAAGCCTAGGAAATCGACCCGATCGGCCTGCTGGCCAACCTTCTTTGCGGCCAACGCATCGCAGATCTTGTCTTGGACGGAGCCGTTCCCGACGACTACTCCCAGGTCCGGCCCCCTGGCCCACGGGGGGCGGAAATTCGCCTGGAGGTCCTCACCCTCCGAGCTCCCGACGTAAAGACGGCAGCGGATCGCCGCGCGCTGACCTCCAGGCGTATCATCGCCTCCTCCGTCGGCACACCGTCCAGCGGGTAGTCGCCGAGGGCCAATTCCTCCACCCTTGCCTGCGCGCCGAAAAACGCGTCGCGCCGAGTCCCGGGCGCCCCGCGCGTGCGCCATCGCGCGCGTACTGTTTAGGAGAATTTCAATCCCTTTACCTTGGATTCCTTGTCCAGCGCCGCCTTTTGGGACTGGACACATTCCTGCATGGCCTCCACGAGCCCGGGGCCCCCGCCCGGCAGCGCGCTGCCACCCGCGGGCCCGCGACCCTCGGCTTCTTCAGCCGCTGCAGCCGCCTTCCTCAGCACCCGCAAAGCTCGCACGCACTGCGCAGGCGACAGTTTTACTGCGCGCCAGTCCGCCGCTTCGCCGTCCGAAACCCACGGGGCCGCTTTCGGCGTCGCGGCCGGCGCCACGATCGCTTTCACTTCGGGCACCGAGAAATCCACCGCGCGCACAGAGCCCACGGCCTCGGCGAGAAGCCGGGCCACCGACGCATAGTGCATGGCCGGGTGCGAGCTCCGCGGGCCCGCGTCGGTCTTTGCCACGAAATGGACCCATTTCGTTGCCAGCCGGCGGCTGCCGCCCCCGAACGCCGACTCCGGGCATTCTCAAGCACGGCCGAGATCTCCTGGTCCGAGAAAGAACACATCGCAGAACGCAATTGAACCGTGCGGCGTCGCGAGAGCAGATCGCTGCGCGCTCAATGCTGGCCCCCACGCGCGCGCGCGCCAAAGCTCCCCCCCGCCTCCTGGCCCACGGGTCGCCCCCTGGACCCTCCTGGCCCCGCTCTGGCCCCCTGGCCGTGGCCCACAGGGCCCCCAGACACCCGCCTGGACAAAACCCGAACCTCCAGGTCCGCACAACGCATCGCCGGGGCCTCCTGGCCCCGACCCGGCCTCCTGGCCGTGGCGCATGACGCCCCCAGACTCCCGCCTGGTAAACCCCTGGGCCCCCTGACCCGCGCGGCGCTACGTCAAGGCCTCCTGGCCCCGACCCGGCCTCCTGGCCGTAGCGCGGTTGCGCCCCAAGCACACCGCCAGGCCAGCTCGGGGGCCAACGGGCGCACGTCGCGTGTCGTCGGGGCCTCCTGGCCCCGACCCGGCCTCCTGGCCGCCGCCCATTACAGAAACACGAATGCACCGAGGGCCTCCTGGCCCGTGCGGCGCGTTGCAAGGGGAGCCTCCAGGCTTGCCCAACATTGCGCCCGTGTCGCACCGCGGTGGCGCCCAGGGCCCCCCAAGGCCACCTGGGATACGGTGCGGAACCAGCGTCGGGTCTCGGGACCCGAGGGCGAACCCTGCGGGCAGCCCAGGACAAGGCGCAGCCTCCTGGCCGCAACATGCCAGCGCGCCTGGGCGCCGACAAGAACCGGCGGGCCACCCGACCGCGCCGGCAAGAGAAACACAGATGCGTTCTGACTGCGAGCCAGCAGAAGCGACGAGGAAAGCAGCAGCACCGGCACCAGCGGCAGCACCAGCATCAGCAGGACCCCCGGCGCACCCGGCAGCGGCACCCGCGGCAGCACCCACCCAGCAGCCGCACCCGCAACCCACGCCGCGGCGGCGACGGCGGCAACGACGACGGCGCGGCAGCAACGGCGGCCACCCCCCAGCAGCGGCAAGCACGGCGGCGACGACGGCCACGGCGCGGAGCGGCCCCAACGCACGACGCGACGGCGACCGCGCCGCGACGACGACCCCGACCACGACGGGCAACGACGACCGCGACGCCGACGACAACGCCGGCGGAGCGACAGGACGACGACGGACACGGCGGCGGCGCCCGAGGAGAGGGAGCGGCGACCGGCCGTCGCGCGCGCGGAGCGACGACCCGCCAGCGCGCGCGCGCGAGCCGCGCAGAACGGCCGACGGGCCCGCGCGCAAGCGGAAGCCGAGTGCGCGCCCATTTCCGCGCGCCTTGCGGGTTGACACAATTATATTCCAACACCTGCGAGAACGCCGCGCGCGGGGGCGCACTCGCGCGCCCCCCCGCGACCCCGATGCGGCGCAACCCCTCACGCACGCAGGATGGGGGGGGGGAGACGTTCTCGTGCGCCCCTCCCCGCCCCTCCGCGCGCGGACGCGCACAGCTTCTGCCGATCGCCCCCGCGCGGCGCGGGCGCTCTCGCGCGCCACGGCGCCGCGCCTCGCGCGACCCCGCGCCGCGCCGTGCCATTTCCATTGCCGTGAGCAATGAAACTGCAAAACCGCGCAGACCGCTCACACTGCGAACCGCGCGCCGCCGCCTCTGCATTTATCGGCCCTGAAAAGCGCGCTTTATGGGCGATGAAAAACGTGAAACACACTACTCTCCGGGGAGCGTGTCAAAACAAGGCATGCAGGTTCCACCCCTCTTGAGGGGAGGTCAAGGCCCAGATTGTGATGAGGACCTCCCCGACAGGAAGCACGGCGGACTCGGAGCCCGCCCCCGACCGACCGACGCCCCAGGCCATGCTGGGTCCGATGCCGGGCCGGCCAGAGCGGATCGACAGCAAGATCGCCGAACACCTTCATCCCTGACGTATACCTGTGGAAAGATCGATCGGGCGTAGGGGGGGGGTCAGGGAGGGGAACACGGCCTTGGAATCGGCGATGAATCGCCGATGGACGATAGGCCCTCGAAAACCAAAATGCACGGTTGGCGCCCAGGCTCCGATTGGCGATGAAGGGGCGATTGAGGGTCGACGTCCCCCCCCCCCTGGGCCAGTCCCTCCCTGTCGGCGTTCCTGAATACCCCTTGCCAGAATCGCTTGCCCACCCGCTTCCCTCCCCACTGCCCCGTCCGCCATCTCTCCCACCCCTTCCACCTGACTGTTTTCCGTACCACCTCCTCTTGTTTCTCTTCGTCCCCCTCCTCCTCCCCCCCCCCTCCTCCTCCTGCTCCTCCTCCTCCTCCTCCTGACGCGGGCGCTGACGCTGTAGGCATGAGAACCCGCGCTGGATGCTGCCACCCTTCCCCCAAGGGCCGTCTCCCCCCCAGGGGCCGTCGCCCCTGGGGGGGGGGTCAAACTACACACAGCCTGCAGGAAGCGAAATAACGGCGACGACGAAGGCCCGCAGGGGCCCCAACGAGCAGGCCCCCGCTCTCTCCCCGGGGGCCCTCCCTCGCCGGGGCGAGCGAAGGGCACCAAGAGTCCACCGCGAGGGGAGACCGAAGGCCCCTCAGGGACGCCCTCTGGGGGCGAGGAGGTTTGCGCCAACCTTGGCGGCGGCCGTGGCACTACTTGTAAATCGGGCGTGTCCCCCATACTGGGGGGGGTTCGACGAAACATAAAAAATGCTCAAAAGATACCCAAAAGATGCCCAAAAATACTCAAACAAAAAAATCCCATACTATTTGACCATTTTTGAACATCCCCCGTGTAGAGGGACAGGCCCGACTTAACACTACTTCCCAAACGCCAGCCCATGATATGGTACCCGCCGAACCCCCAGTCTACTTGGCGCGCGCGGCGGCAGTGGTGGGCAGACCGAGAGAAGGAAACGTGCGAGGACGAGGCTGGAGAAGAATCAAGGGATGGAGGGTGGCGCTCAAGCGTGGCCGGGCGAGCGGGGTTGGTCATGGCGACAGGCAGCAGCCGCCCTGGGCCCTAGCCAGGACGGCCGTCGGTAGGTGCTACCCCTCCCACCATCAATTGCCCCGCTCCCCCACTCCACCCCCTAAGTCACCGGCAGCTTAAATGAGGTGACTGCGGGCGCGGCAAGAGAGGTAGGTGGAACATCGGCAGCAGGCGGGGGGACGAAGGGGAGGTGGGCTGAGAGAGGGCTGAGCTCAAGGCGGGCTTAGCAAGCAATGTGGCGGCAAGCGGAAACCAGTGGGGGTAGCGGCGTGAAACGACCAGGTGGCGGTTGCGAGTGGAGGTTGACTGGGCGTGCTTAACTGCTGGCCGGCATGCGAAGGTGGCGGGGACCTCCGCCCGTCTCTTAGCAAGCGATGTAGCGGCGACTCGGGTTGGCAGGAGGAGAGAAATAGCGGGGGGAGGACTGTGAGATGTGAGGCGACATTAGCGAGTGGTTAGCGAAAATGGCGGCGATTGCGTGCCGCGGCCGCCCTGGCACATGCCAGGAAGGCCGGCGGCGCGTTCTTTGCGTTGCCCCCCCGATCATGCTGACCCAACCCCGCCCGTCCCCGAAAACATCAGAGTGGGGAGGTGAAGGCTAGCGGGGCACGCAGTGGACGGGAATAATAGGGCGATTGGGCGGCCAAGAGTTAGTGAAGATTGGGCGAGAGGCTCACATTGCAACTGTCGTGGACGGTTGGCTCTTCGAGCTGACACTTGCAAGGCCCGTGCCCCGTAGAGCTAGCGATTAAGAGGCTCCACACAAGAGAAACCTTTATCCCGAAGATTGGCTCGATAAAGAAATACGTTGGAACATACCAGCCTTGCAGCGCGATCATTCCAATGCGAAAATATTGGGAAATTGAGGCAGACGCATGCGAAACTCATTGCCTGTAACCGTTGCGGAACTCCTCCTCCTCCTCCTCCTCCTCCTCCTCCTCCTCCTCCTCCTCCTCCTACTTCTCCTCCCCCTTCCCCTCCTCCTCTTCCTCCTCCTCCCCATCCTCCTCTTATTATTATGAGAATTACTCTTATTGTTGTTCGTATACTTGTTCGTCTTAGTAGTACTAATACTCTCCGTGGTATTGTTAATGACAATACTGTTATGGTATCACCATTAGTATGGCTACTATCATTATTATTATCACCCGTACTATTCTTCATGTGATGCATATTCTTCGTATTATTAACTTCGTTGTTGATATTTGTTGTATCCGTAATGGCATTACCTTTTTTCCCCAGTCATGATTAGCTTAGCATTAGCAATATTCATATATTATTCTCATTATTACAATTCGTATTAATGTTCGTTATAGTATTCGCGTGAGGTTTCTGATTCGCTTGAATGTTATTAGTAGTAGTAGCAGCAGTATTAGTATGATTGGCCACGTTCGTGAAATTATATGTTTGATCGAAGGCTGATTATTAGTATGGGTATACTTAGTCTCGGCAGTACTATCAGTAGTCGTCATACTCTCGCGTGTACGTTTCTTACATTCATGACTGGAATATTTAGATTTATGATCCACGCGTATCATTATTACGACTACTATGTTTAATAAATCCTCCTCCTCCTCCTCCTCCTCCTCCTCCTCCTCCTCCTCCTCCTCACCCATCCTCCTCTTCCTCCTCCTCCCTTTCCTCCTCCTCCCCCATCCTCCTCCTCCTCCTCCTCTCCTCCTCCTCCTCCTCCTCCTCCTCCTCCTCCTCCTCCTCCTCTCTCCTCCTCCTCCCTCCTATCCTCCTCCCTCCTCCTCCTCCTCCTTCCTCCTCCTCCTCCTCCTCCTCCTCCTCCTCCTCCTCCTCCTCCTGTTCCTCATCCTCCTCCTGGTGCCCACACAGGCGTTTCCAGAAAGCAGCGGGCGGCGGTGGTTCGACGCGTGCACCCACGATAAACCCAGCTCAAAACTACACGCGCAGATGTTCCTCCTCCTCCTCCTCCTC